TGACGTCAGGCATTGTGGCACCCCTCAAATGCTTCCCGGCGGGACAATTTTTGGACGATTAATGGCCTTTAGCATCAGCCACAGTCGGCCTGTCCGAGGCCTGCCTCTTCTCTTCTTATTGGGCTTCCGAAGGCAACGTGCCAAGTGACGTTAGGCATTTTGGCCGGCCACGGCTGGCCCCTTGAAACCCTCAGGGCCACGGTGTTTCGCTGTGGCATGACTGCTTCCACAGGCCTGACTCCATATATTGAGTAGTTACCACATCTGGACTTTTGATCAATAACACTCCCCATTTGGATGCACGCACTGGCGCACTGACTCACGTCTCCACATGACGAGTGCAGGTGGAAGTTCCCCATTTGGATAGTCTTCATACCGGAGGTTAGTTCAAAACCGATGATGGCGCAAGCCAAGCCGGCCTTTTCGACACGGAACATTTCGTAACATATGCAAAAAAAAGTGCGTTCTTTCACAAACATTTTTCTTGGAAAGGCAAATTTAACATGGTCATTGGAGATGCAAGGTATACCATCCCCAGCTCTTTTCTCCCACGTCCCGGGCTGCCGGAGCAATGAACTTCTTCAAGACCTCCGCAGAACAGCTGGCCGCGCGGGAAGGCGTCCACTTGTTGCGCGCCGTGGTGATCTGCGGCATGAAAGGTGCTCCAGCCGGCTTTTTCCGCCCGTGGTTTCCATGGTTTCCATGTGTCATTTTCTCCAAGGGTACCACTCAAGATGAACTCAACATGAGCTCCCACGAAGGTCGGACGTGACTGGCAATGTCTCTGCGAAAGACAGCCCTGTTACACTACCAACATCTATAGATCTAAACACATATAACATATTTACATCTATTTACCGTGTTCCTTTGACTCCTCCATCCCCGTCCGTACCAGTGCCGTCTGCGCCGTCCGTACCTTCTCCCAAGCTCTTCCCGTGCCCAGCGGCCGCAGCATGGCCGATGACCGCACCCTGCGCCAGCGAGGCGCACTGCAGGGCCAAGTCCCTGGGGAAGCCGAAGGACTCGGCGGCTGGAGATCGAAATGCTGGGCGGTGACCGACAGCTGCATTCAATCATGGGATTTTGGGGGACTATAGATTCGGTTTCATTTATAATTTGATGTCTAATATATTTATATAAACATCCTTTTGGAAGGATTACGAGTGCCTCTTACGCAAAACACACCAACTGTTTGGAGGGTGCCCTCCTTCTTGTAGGTGGCTTTGACTAGGGGAAGCATGGAAGCTTTCCGGCGCTGACGCCCGGTCTTGCTGCAAATGGTTTTATGATATGTTTGTTCTCCTCTTCCATATGTCAGGCAGGTGGTTGAATTCTCTCGAGCAAAATGGTTTGGTCAATCATGGAGTAAACGACTGGAAGTTCTTCTACATGGGCTGCGCGCTTTTCACAGGGCACTATGTCTGTCTCAACTGCTATTATTATTGCGCTGCTGGGTTCTCACTATCCCATCATCCTGAGAAAGCGATCCAAAACAATAGCTCGAGTAATTTCTGTTGGCCCACAAACACCCTCTGCCGACGCCTTCTCCGCACGCGACGTCGTGCAGGCCAGCTGTCCTCGGCCAAAAGCATGACTGAAGAACATGTGCATAGAAGGGCATTGAGTCACACCAAACCTCGACTCCAGCGTATTTGCTCAAAAGGATATGGATAGGTTTATGGACATTTACTGGAGGCTGCTAACAACAGCAGGAACACTCTTGCTCAAAACTAACGACCTAATGGAAAGCATCAAGCAGCAAATGACTTAGATCATCCAGTTGCACGGCTTGCTGGAGTACTGAACAAGGAAGCGCTGATGTTCAAATGGTCTTGTTGGTGCATGGCAGGTGGCTGCCTTCAAAGAAGCACGGTTTTTTGCTGGGAATCTCCTGTCGACGTTCCCCGATGCCATCACACAGTTTCTGCAGGAGGACCCACCAACATCCGAACATCCACTCCCCATGCCAGACATCAGTAAACACAGTACCTACCGCATACCACGTCCAGTTCGTTCCCATCCGGCCACCCGATCGTCACGTGGACCTCCCAAAAAGTGCGTGTAGCCTCTTGATCTATGTCAACCCCCCAGACTTGAATGGACCAATTCCCTTGCTCCCCCCAAAGATGACCCCCTGTCCTGATCAGCATCATCATCATCCTCATCATCATCTGCTACATCATCCACCCACCACCAAAAAGACCATTTTGCTGGCTTTGCTTGCCTGTAGTCCGTGCCCATGGCCAATTCATGGCGCTTGGATGGCTTGCATCAGGCCCTCAACTGCCAAACCCCGTCACCGAATCTGCGCTTGGCTGCCTTCGTGGCCCCTTCTTCAGAAAGCTTAGGAATCGACGGTGGTCCTACATGTCTCGACAATCCTAAGGTAAAACAATCTTTTTGCCGAACTACAGACATCGGGGCCAATATGAGGTCAGGCTAGTAAAGGCGCCAGTCGACGGTTACTGCCTCGGCCATCCACAAGCACTCATGGCTTGCCGATCACCGCGTAGCTCCCCATTTCACATCAAAAAATGTTGGCCGACACATGTGCTCCTGGCACTGTCACTTATTGACACTGCTCATCCGGGAGCAAAAACACCGTCAGCCAGCTCTCATGGCCTCACGGCACATCGTCCCCATCAGCGCCCTCTGCTTCGAGCTCCTCATCGGCCCGGGAGGTCACACAATTGCGGATGGCTGCTGCGTCGGCTCTTGCACCTCATTCCACAAACCACACTTAGCAAACACCGGTTGCCCACGCTAAGTATCCATCACGGCTTCAACCCAATTTAGCAACCACCAGATCCGGCCAAGCCACCAAAGAGCATCCGCTTTGATCGCTGTGGCCTTGGCTGCCCCCGCCGCGTCCCCAAAACCGGCTCTACGCGACAACGGTCCCCCGCTCCTCCTTTGTCCGCCTATGCTTGTCGATACTTGTAGACCTGTCTTACAATCTCACAGTTTCCCTCGAACCCCCCTGCGCCAAGACGCTTTCTCTGCATTGGCCATGTCGTCCTGCGTCACCTCTCGCACCAGTCCGATCTTCTGGATAGACTTCGCGAAAGCTTCGAAGCTTCTTCGACTTGGGCAATCGCACTCAATTCGAGCCCGATAGCCGTTGCGTAGCGGAATGACCATTTTGAACTGCACCTCTGTCCTGAGCTCCACGCCAACTAAGAGAATTATTCCACTTGCCATTGCGCTTGGCACAACCATGGTTGTTCAGGCCCCTAACTGCATGGATAGCCCAATAATGACCTACAACCACGGTTCCCAATCGGCCCGCAACGCGAGGAATTAAGAGACCCTTCCCACTACAAAGCCACTGGCTCAGATACCACAACCACCTTGTCTACACCACTGCCTACGTGCACCTCAGGCCCGACATTGTCGCCCCCACGAACAACGCCTTCTGCCGACGACTATCTTCCTCCCTCAGAGGATTTCCCCCACTGCTCGCCGCTGCCAAGCCACGAATGCTGCTTCAAGAGCGCGAGGAGATCCGTCCTTCTCCGCATGTTCTGTTGCTCCCTAAACTCCACAATGCAGGCCTTTGAACAGGGGGCATCTGCTCTATCCACTTCGGCGGTCACCAAGCCCACATTGTCCACCGCAGCTTCGACAAAATCGAAGAATCGAGCTAACGCCGCTCGCACTTCCAGCGCATTCTCCGTGACCTGGACGCTTCCGTTCTCCTGCATTTCGACATCGAAGCCCAGCTCCTGCAAAGTGCTGGGGCCAGGACAGATAAGTCGGCGGCGGCTGCGCGCGTTAGGCGTCAGGCGTCAGGTCAACAAGTCTACCCTACACGAGTCAACGCCGCAATTGCATTCCCGTCTGTTCCGTTATGTGCGTGCTTGCATAGATGTGTATGACTCGATCCAATCCACGATTGTAAAACTCCCCCGTCAGCCAGCCTTGGACAAGTAGAGCTTGATCTTGTCAAACTCTTTGGCAGCCCAAGCCTCCCGCACAGCAGAGTCTGCCTCTTCCGAAGGCTTCAGGAGCCGAAGAACTGCCATGGTGCCACAGAACCACTGGGGACGCCGAACTCAGCCAACTAATCTGCGGAGCGAAAGCAAGAATTTTCACTTTACTGGCGATATGCCTGGGGCGTGCCATAGCCGAACTCGGTTTCTGCGTAGGCCATTCCAGTATGAATCAATTTCGCAACAGTGGCCCTACGACAAGCCTAATATAACCGAAAGCAATGGTTTCTTTTGCGCAGGGTCCTTCATAGGCACGCCCTGGTTCAACTTGTTTTCCGATGGGAATGAAGCTCCCCCAAACAGGGACACCTTTTCACACCAACAAGCATCATGGGTACCAGCTTGGCTCGGTTTTTACTTTGCAACCGCCAGCCAGAGCCGCTGAAAT